TTGGGCCCTGGTCCTATATGGGCTTCTGCTCTTGGATATCCCTGTGATCCCATCCCTTCATTAATCTATGTCTTATAATCCTGGCCCTTTACTGGAGCTACCGAAGTTTGCTCACATAGAGGTCTATTTCTTCTTAACACTGGGCCACGTGCTCTCCCAGACTTCACCTTATTCATCCATACACTGCTTCGCTAAGCTCTGCCTGACTTCTGATTGTTGCTGTTTCTTCTTTACTCACCTGGCTGTCATGCACAACTTAGCCCATTTTTGTAACTTATATCCATGCTGGCTTAGACTGGTCCTCCTGACCCCAGTGGAACTAGTATCTTTGATGCCAATTGGTCCTTGGGCCTCTTGGGCACTTTGCCTTGGTCCTGCCCATCTTTAGCACAAAGTGAAGTCAGCCTGGTTCCTCAGCAATACATCTTGAGACAAGTGATGAGGGATGTTATATGTGGGTGTCACAAGGAACTAATTACATATTCCTACTTAATATGCTTATCTCCAAGTGAGGTTGTTCCCTTTTAGTCAAGTGCTTTCATGGAGTATTCACAAAACAATGCCAGAAGCCTCAGGATACCATCACAAAGCAATTTATCTTCAAGTCATACATCATTTATACATATACATGTATTTTCAAAGAAAAGCCACGTACTAAAGTGAGTGCCCAATTTACTAAAATTTTTTTAAAATGTATTTTCCTTCAACTATTCCCTCACTGCTGCTTAGCAAGCCTTTTATTAACTTCTTGGTGTTCTTCTCACATACACTTAATAGCAGCCATTCCTGGATTTCTCTAGCCCCCAAGAGCTCCCCATAGAAAACTGCTTCTTTTCTAGAAATGACCTTCTTTTCTTTGAAATAGAGGCCATATGAGGCAATCTCCGCCTATACATCTGCGTATTTACCCCCTCTTTTCTTCCTTCCAGATCTGGGAAACAAAAATGGACTCCACTTGTGTTCTGATCCCATCCACCCTTGTCTTCTTTGGGAATCCACACCTGACCCCACTCGCCATCTTACATGCCCCAGCTCAAAGGTCTCTCACCTGTCAATCATGAAGGGTGGGTTTACAAAGGGACCTTAAGGGTTCAGTTTTTATCAGATTCTCAAAGGTTTCCATAGCAACAACACAGGGAAGAACAACACAGGGAACAACCTCATCACCCTTCCCTCACAGCCCAGATCATACTTTCCCCCCCTGCCCCCTTCCCACAGCCTTACCCACAGCCTGCCAATTGTGAGTTTGGGGTGAGAAGCAGAGTGGGTCCTTACCACAAAACATGCTCTGACATCTCCTCTGTTTGTGCAAGTGGCTTTCCCTAGCTAGAACGCATCTGTGCTAGAGTGTTCTTCTGTGCTCTGGGCCTAATCTTAGAGCTGGTCCCTGCAAATTGTCAATGTTGGATCAAGAAAGCTCCCTATCCGGCACGGGGATGGGGGAGCTGGGGAAGAGGCTAGAGGTGGAGGCCTGGGGGTAAGGAAGTTAGGGATGCAACCAGGGTCCGTTACAGCTGGGAGCACTAAAGACAGAGGCAAAGAGGTGAGAGGCGAGCTCTGAGGAGCAGTCTGGTTTCCATACCAACAGGAACCACAGCCAGGTGTTCCTGCCTTCCTTGCCCTTCCTACAAGGCCCAGGCATGACGTGCTGGGATTCATTCCATGCTTTTGGCTAGAGGGAGAGAAGCTGCCTCATTCACTAAGGCCTTTATGTTGTCAGCACTTTCTCACTGGTCTTCTGCTCAAGTAGATCTTTGGATTTCCTGGTTCCTGGATATTGCCTTGTACCGCTGATGGCCCATCTTATTCCACTTCCTTATATTTGTGTCCTCTTGGTCTGTGATCATCAAAGTAAAAATTCAGACAACATTGGGATAGACCAGTATTCACTGGACATGGCTCAGGGCTCTAGAAAGAACTAGGAGCGAGAAGATACCACTCAAGGGTCCTCAAATATGAGAAAGGAAGAGATCATTAGGGATACTAGGTAAGAAGTGGAGGATCCAGCCAAGAGGAGCATAATGTCCAGAGGACTCAAATGATAGGCAGTTCAAGGTATAGAATCTACAAGGAAGAGGGGGCAAAGAGCTTCATCTCATTTGGACATCTTAACCACTATGGGACATAGGAGAAGCATGACCAATGTCCATTCTGCACTCCAAGATGAAGTCAAAAGCTGATGATTTCCTCAAAGGTCAGGGTTACTTAAGTAGAGGAACCAATACTAGAACCGAGATTTTGTAGCGGTTCTCATAAGTTAAGCCTATGCCAAAAGTATCTATTTAAGCTACCCTTCTACTCAGGACTTATGGGCATCTCTCCAATAGCAAACTTGGATTAGCCTGACAGATGAAGAACTTTCAGTAAGGAGCTAATGGTATCTTCTCAGGCTCTAAGAAAACTTATGCAGAAAATCCCCTTTTGAAGTCTGAAAATTCTTTGGCAGCATCTTTTTAACCTCCTCCTTAGTCCTACCATGCTATTTGCATACCACTCTATCAGCATTTTTCCTGTCCCCCGACCACATTTCTGAGACATGTGATAGACTACAGGAAATGGGAAACTAGCAAATCTCTTTTCATGCCCATCTCTAAGTCACTTTTGTGTCTTGCTAAGGAATGACTAACTAGTAATCACGCTATCATGAAAATGGCAAATGGAGAAAATTACAGGTGTTTCTACAAAAATGCCTGCTGAGGTGCATTTTAATGATCAAAACAGAGAATACCTGGGCTAGATTCTGGAACTGTACGTGGCTGGCCATAGGACAAACTTACTCTATCTACCTAAGAGGAGGAGATTCTCAGACCAGTCACAGGAGCCAATTAGAATTGTTAATAATGCTAATAACAAGGCAGTTGCCTTACTGTCAGGAAATGCTTTCATGTATCTCATGTAAAATCCTTTAAGCTGCAGTTTGAGCCTGGTTCTTCTTCTCCTAACTTTAACATAAGAATTGTGTATTTACTTAAGGAAATATTTTGATTGGAATGATTGAAATTACACATTCTTTTTGCTTCGAATTCTTGAAACAACCCTGCACTTTACTTATGGATCAACCCATTGTACATACATTCCTTGTGTGTCCTAGGCTCAACTCTTAGTGACTTTTTGTTCTGAAATTTTGCGATTATATTTCTGAAATGAAAGTTACTGTGCTTTCATTGTGTTCCTTTGACCTCACTATGTGGCGAAATATGTTCTAGGTAACATTCAACAGGAAGGAAGTAGCACAAAGAACTGCCTAAAATTCAGCATAAACTCAAATCCTCTCTCTCTATCTCTACCTATATAGCAGAACACCTAAAGTGTTACTTTGAAAAACCTAAAGTGTCTTTATGGTTGTTGGGGGTGGGGAGCCCAAGAGGAGGGGGATGGGGGGATCCGGAGAGAGTGGTCATAGCGCATTTTGAACTTTCAGGGATTCTGAGATGTTGGTTTCAAAATGGAATTTATCCTCAAATCCCAAGATTATAGATTTCCTTCCAAACTGCATTCCCTTCATGGTTTAGAGAACAGTTAAAAGAAAAATTGCTCTCCATATTTTGATTGACATTAAAAACACTGTGAAAAGAGTTTGGAACTTGATCTCTTCGAGGGAAGGACAGTAATTAAACTAGAGCTTTCGCCTGCAGCTTTTCTCTCACACTTACTCAGAACTGTTCCAGGGAAGGAAATTCACAGGGAATTTTGTTCTCATATGTCACTTCTAGAAGGAGAAAGACGCATTCCCAAGCAAATTATCCCCAAACTTCTAAATACAAAGGGAAAAGGTTATTTAATGAATCTCAACCCCAAACCACCACATTCCACGGAATAAAATCCAGTTGAATCAGTCATTTGCAGCTGGTAGTCTTTCATAGCCAGCACTATTAAAAAATCATCAGATTTACCCTGCTTGCCATATAGCATCTAGTCTTCAGTCAAGTTCTAGCTGTATACGTCTGGTTTTGGCAAACACATTAGAAACCATCTGCATAGTCCTGTTAACAGAAGGGATCTATAAATACCAAGCACTTTGTTCTCATCCACTTTTTTTGACCATGTATTGCCACAGCACTAAAATTCCCCCACCCCTTACAATCAGCTCTTTCTAAAAGGAATTCCAGGCTACTACCAACTAACTGCCTTGTACTACTGTTTCAGACACCCAAATATGTCTATCTCGATATGAAAGACTGCCTCCTCCCTTTCTAAACCACATTTCCAATCGACATCTCTTTAGATTATCTAGACACACTCAGGCACCCTTTCAAACAGAAAATAAGATTTCTTAAAAAAATAGTTTGGTAGGACGTTAAATGTGCTTTCTCAAAACACACCCACTAGCGCATGCATTCTCTTGTTATTAGGTTTTATAGGAAACAGACCAGCCTAGGCATCTTCCGTCTTAGCAAATATCCCATCAGTGACATTAACCCAACCAGTGCTAGGTGCTAGTGATCTCTCCATCTCTGACCTTATTTCCTTGCAACTCTGGAAGTCTAGTTTTAAATACTGGCAGCAGACTCTAACGCAAATGCCTTTGGTTAAAAAATCATTCCTTTTTGGCTTCTCATCAACCTAAAGAATTGTTGGTTTTGTTTTTAAAGCAAATCCACGTCAAATCTTTGGCAATAAAAGATGCAGAAGAGACTGTGTGAGCAGTCTGGTGCAGTAGGCTTGCTAACACTGGCCTTTGGGTATCAGGTATAATCTCATATGGCTGTCCTAAACAAAAGGCTATCCTAATCAAAGTTGCCAGTGCTCCCCAAATGTAAGTCTCTATATGGTTGCTCTTCTTGTCCCAACTCTAAAAACAAAACTTGAAATCTCATCCTGTTGGCCTTCCGGGAATATCCGTGTGGCAGGGAAGCCCAGTCAGGCTCCGGAGTTTGCATGGTTTATTGCCTCGAACATTCTTGCATCTCCAGCTACCTTAGCCAGGAATGTTGACTGAAAACCAGAGAAAGTCCCCAGATTCTCTCTAGAAGGAAAAAAGAAAGCCTTCTGTGCCTTACCTCGTAGGCTGAAACTTCTTCCCGAGGACTAAGTCGGAAAGGAAGGACTGATTTCTTTAAGCAGGAGCACAGCCAGAGAGCAAGAAGGCAGGCAGGCAGCCGAATACACACTGCTCTATTCAATAGAACTCCAGACCGCCCTTCCTTGGCCCCTCCCAGAAGTCCATGCTAAGTGAACACATATCCCCTATGTTTACAGTCGGCAGGCGGTGGTATGCATTGTCCTGTCGTTTTTCTAATAGGCAGCCAATGACGACACCCCAGCCAAGGTGGATGCAGCCTGCCTGTGGAGATGCCTGTCATTCCCTAGGCATGCTCAGGAAATCACTCATCAGAAAACCCAAGACCTAAAAAGCTCTGAAACTGCGTGCAGGCTGCCAAAACCAGCCCGCTCCATGCCCTTTTTTGGTTATCCTTAGCAGGGCCTCTGGAAGTGAATCCATTGTCAGGAACAATCATAAGAAATGTTAATCTTGGAGAGGCTGTCTTGTAGAACACAAATGCAGCAATAAAAAGAAAGTACAGTCTCTGAAACAAAAAGTTAACAGATCAGTTTATTGGGTGTGGGGGTGGGGAAGGCTTCTTACCAGAGGGAGTCTTAATAGTATATTTCTTTTCAAAGTACTTGTACGTACAAAATGAGTTTAAATTGTTATGCAATTCTAAAACCTGAAGGAGACAGGACCTGGGTCTGCTGTGCAGACTCAATTCTAGCCTGAAAGAGGCACAACTCCCCAAAATATGTCGGCATATGTGATAGAAACAAGTGACCGAAGGGAAACCAAAAACTTAGGTCTTTTTTAGCAGGTAATACTGGTCAGAATAAACCTAAGGTCCTACAGGCTTGGATATCCTCACTGACTTCACTTTCCTCTCCTTATCTCTTTTGTTTCCTCAGATTTGGCAATGTGGAGATAGTACTAGAAATTCCTAGAAATTGATGCACATCAGAGAGGGCACGAAGAGATGCACCACCTGCTTTGGGCTGGGGTAGACAGATGCATATATCCCGCAGAGGTGACATAATGTTCAGGTGGCTTCTTGAAAGTGCTCTCACCAACCCTGCATTTGTAGGACGTGTGCTGTAAGAGGATCAGAATTAGGAGATGCTAAAGAGAATGAAGGTAACTGGCCCACACATAGTCTTGTCCTTTTCAATATAGAATTCACTCAATTAGTACTTAATTAAAAGTGAAAATCCCTTTTTTGGAGCACTTACTATTTGTCAGGTCTGGGTATAGGTGCAAGATCTATGTCTCATTGTTGTATGTTTGGAGACTGTTTCATCACTGACCAAGAAGTTTCACAGTATTTTTCCTGGTTAATTACAAGTCCAGAGGTTGGTCTTTAAAAATGTGAGGTTTTACTATATGCCTTTCCCTATTTATGAAGATGTGACTTAGAAATGATCTCTGTTTACGAAAATGTCCGTGCCCTTTGTGCCTCTTTTAGAACAGTTGGGAAGTAACTAATTCACACTGTCAGTTTCCTTCTTCAGCCTTCCAGAATTAACGAGTTACCCAGAGGCATCCATATCAACTCTCTACACTCATCTCTTTCTTGGGAAGGTTGCTTCCCTCGCCTCTTCCTGACTGCTACTGCTGCACAGCCCAAAAAAGCTATAGCCGAGACTCCCAGGCAGAGGGAGAGATGAGCCTCAGGCATCCCAACATAGAACTAGGAATGCACGTTTCCAGAGAAAAGAATAAATAATGGTTGGTAGGAATCGTACAGTCAATGTTGCATTTCAGGTACACTGTGGCACAAGCAGGCATTTGTGGAACATCACTGTTTATAAAATTGTTCCTGTGGGAAAATGTCTTCTGATCCCAGATAAATGATTTAGAAATAAATTTTCGGAACACAGCCAGTTTTGTTGATGGGGACATCCCATATCTAGACAGGGAGGAAAGACAGAATACTACATAGTCTGGTAAACTGCTGGGCTTGAACATATTGTAGGGCGACATCAGGGAGTTCAGAAAACAGCAAAATCAGTGATGTCTGTGCAAAGATACGACCTGTGTCCAGAGAAGTTCCGGGTGCATGGTCTCCAGGTGGTATCCTCCATAACTCAGTGAGGCCTGTTTGAAAGTGCTATTTTCCATTACTGCTGCTGATTATATCCTAAACCACACTCTCCCTGCTTGTATAAATAATGCCCTTTGGTGGAACAGCATCAGGGTATAATTTTGCAATCTATGAATAAAATAAATACCAGCTTCCCAGAGGAAAGAAAAGTTGTGCTACAAATGGGGAAAATATTATCAACAGGAAACACGGCAGGGACCTGCATTTTGCATGGTTTTTAGAAGATAAATGGCTTAGTATTTTTGGGTTATGTCTTTTGATTAAAAAAATAGTATGTTTCCCTAGATAAATTCTGGATATCTCATATATAGGGTATAGTGGATGAGTGACCACACAACCTATTTTATGTATTTGAAATACACTTATCATGGAGGAACTATATAGTTTGAAGAAAAATTTAACAAATTTCATGTAGTATATACCATGATATTGAAAAATTCTTCTTTCTTTGCCTTCTACTTTTTTTATAAACAATCAAGAATTTAAAAAGAAAGGAAGGGGAATAAAAAGAAAAAAAAAGATACATGTTGCTGAATCTCTGCCATGGGAAACTTTACTTTCATAGTGTTTACTTTTTCCAGAGGTCATTTGTAAACAGCCCTAAAAATACACGAGATTTATATAGGAAATTTCTGTGAAATATATTTCCCAATTGGATCATCCCAGATACAGGACCGCTTGTCTATCATAGGCTAGATCTACCTAATCAAACCATAATCCATCTAAAAAGACATTTGAAAATATCTGGACAATTCTTTGTATTTTTTTAGTTACAATTGAGTGTTTGCTATCATGTAGATCAGTAGCAAGAAATTATATTTTGCTTGCATGTCCACTTGGGAAAAGTAAAAACAGGCCATTTTTTAATTCAAAATTAGTTACTTCATTTAGTCATGAAAAATATACCTCCTTCCAGCTTAAAATGTCTACTTTATTCAATAGAAAAGAAGATTTGAAAATTTTAAAAGGCAGCAGAACACCCCTTGCCAGATTCTTTCAGTCAAATAAAACCTTTGCCAATACCCAGGTTTATCAAACGATAAAAGCAGACTGGTAGAATCTTGATATCAAAATTGGACACAAAAGTACCCAACATAATAGAGAATTTGGATTAAGTGCACTTATGAATGCAGATGAAAAAATCAGGAATTGAATCCAACAGTGTGGAAAAAATAGATAGGACCAATCCGGAGATGGTTTAAAATCTGAAAATCCACTGATATAATGTACAACATTACCAGTTTAAAAGTAAAATAACATAAATAAAAGAAGTAGAAAAAAGAAAAGAGAAAGATTGTCTTAATAGGTGAATGATACTTGGTAAACTTAGTAATCACTTTAGAAAAAAAATCTCTAGGAAAACTAGAAACAGAATCTTTTTAAACATAACAAGAGGCATTTACCAGAAGTCTATAGCAAACGTCATGCTTAATGATAAATGTTAAAAGCATTCTCATTGATTATAATGGGAAGTATATAAAGTAATTACTATCTCTTCTACAACTAAAAAAATGTGCTAGATACCTAACCAAGACAAATAAATAGAAAAAAATAGCCACTGGGATTAGAAAGAGAAATAAATGTCTTTGTCTGCTGTATGATTATCTGTGTAGAGAATTCGAGAGGATCTACAAATATATTGGAAGTAATAGAAGAGCTTAGCAAGATTGTTGGAATTAAGGTCAAGATGCAAAAACCCAGAGTTTCTGTAATCAGCCATCTCTAATTTTTAAATATAATGGAAAAAGATGCTATTCATAATAACAAAAAGTGTTCATTACCTGGGAATAAATGTAATAAAATATGTGCAAGAAAGTTATAAAACTTGAGTTAAGGGCATGAAAAACCTGACCAAATGGTGAAATATATCATCTTCATGAGTGGAAAACCTGGAAGTTGTAAAGATATACATTCTCCTCAAAGTAATCCATGCGTTCATTATTCTGATTAAAATCTCCAAATGACGTATGTTGTAGAACTTGACAAAACAATAGTAAATATTTTAAAAGTAAAGACCTAAAAATAGGCAAAGAGGTTTTTTAATAGAGAAATTCTAATTAAGATAAGTGCTATTCACACAAGACTAAACAAGTAGATCAATAGAATAAAGCAGAAAGCCTAGAAATAGACCCAAGCATATATGATTTTTTTTAATAATAGAGGAGGTATTACAAATAAGGAAGAAAAGGGTGGATTACTCTATTAATGGTAAGGGTTACAATCAATTTTGTGGAAACAGAAAATTTAGATTCAAAGTTTCTACTACACACTATGATAAACTAGGTTACATAAAAAACAAACTTAGAAATGATTAGAAAAAATTGAAGGTGAATTTTTTTTATCATAGGTTATATAACATAAAAAAACAGAATTAACAAATGAAAAGACTGATAAATTTGAGGATATGGTTAAACACGGCAGATCAAATAAGAACACTCATTTATTTCTGCTTCCCTAAACCTCTCCAGAATGATAGTAAAGAAATAAAAAATCATAAATAAATCCTACAAGACAAAGAGTACCTGAAAGGTATCAGCATGAGTCCAGATGTCAGCCAAATTTTGGACTATGGAAAATGGACTGATGGCTGGAAATTGACTCAATAGAGCTGAGAAACTGAAATCTGGTGCTGTGAATTAGGATGCCAGCAGGAAAGACGCTGATTCAAGCCTTGGAATCAGGAAAAATTCGGGATGTGGAAGCCCTGGGAACCTCTGAGGACAGACGGTGGAGCAGAAAACAGATTTGTTGAAAGTCTGGGTAAGGAATAGTTAGAAGTCCAGATAGCGTCCTCTACCCCACACAACCAGGTGAGCATCTCTCTCTCAACCAGACAGAAAACTGGAAGTTTATTCTGATTCTTCTTTCAAGTGCTGGACTCAGAGGAACCAGGTGAAGCCGTGAACAGGGAAGAGGCTGAATGCGGAAAATAAATGTTTAAATGAAAGCCAACTCGTTGAACACTGAACATCTCCAATCGCCTCACCCTGCAGGGCTCCCAGGACACCAACAATCAGTTTTGTATCCCACAGACAGGAAATTGAAGGATTCCATTCCAGAGAAACTGGCATGCTCATGGAAAAAAGACCTAAACTCACAGATATTTGAGAGACATTGTCCAGTGCCCTTTAGTAACCCATTTGCAGCAACTTCCAATTGGCTACTTAGGACCTCATTATTATTATTATTATTTTTTGAGAGAGTCTCACTCTGTCACCCAGGCTGGAGTGCAGTGGCACCATGTCAGCTCACTGCAACCTCCATCTCTTGGGTTCAACCAATTCTCCTGCCTCAGCCTCTCGAGTAGCTGAGATTACAGTCACCCACCACCACACCCGGCTAATTTTTGTATTTTTTAGTAGAGACGGGTGTTCCCCATGTTGGCCAGGCTGGTCCCAATCTCCTGACCTCGTGATCTACCTGCCTG